GTGCTCGGACCCTAATTAAGTAGAGGAAAGACTGAGACATAATGACAATACAAGCAACAGCATTTCCAAGCGAGACACAGAAATAGAAGGAGAGCCCAGTGGGAAAAATGGTTAAGAAGCAAGGAAGGGAGGAGGAGAAGTGCCCTGTTAGGGAGAGATTAGTGTCATAATCCTCTGGAATCATCCTCCATCCAGCCTATTTATTACTGACTGTCTGATGTGTTTCAGTTAACACATACAGAGAAACCCTCTGAGCCAAACCCTGCAGAAAACACACACTCATGCGGAGCATTAGACCTGACAAACAGTAAATGGGTAAAAATCACTCCCATTAAGAGCAAGGTCAATGCACGGTCACAAACAAACCCACGCTCGCCACACTAACAGCTGGTCATGTTTCACAGGGTTAAAAGTTCTTCTTGGACGATGTGGGATTACATGTGATGGCAGGGTGCAACATTTGTCCTCTGAGCTCCAAGACTAATAGCATGAGGTCAGATCATCATGAGGTCAGATCATGCTCAGTGATGGTCAGCAATTGTCATAAAACATCCTGAAGCCTGGATTCCTGTCCCTCCACTTCAGCATCACACTTTATCCGATGTTAACAAGGTAATCTGAGGAAATATCCTATTTAAAGCGCAGGCAAAGGGAGCTGCTGCAGGAGACTGGAGGATAATCTGACACAAAAATTACAAGCTCATTCACAACTGCTGGTTGCCTGTCACTTCCACAGACAGTTATAATAATATATTAGTTTTCATATTATACTAGCTGTACTTCAGTGTCATACGAGTAGAAAGACAATGCTCTAATTACAGTTTTAAACAAGATGCAAATGAGTAAAAATGTTTTTCTTGTTGTGTGTTTGTCAAAGATCAAAAGTTAACAGGACATAAATGTGGCCCAATCTGTTTGCCATCAGTTACATTGAGGTAAATACATTTCTGACACACTTCTGTGCAACTTAATAATAATAACTGAGTGATATATTTAGACATTTTTGTTAAAATGAAGGGACAGGATTACATTTTACAAGTTAGTTTTTAATGGTGACATAACGCTGAGATTTCAACTTTACAAAAAGATGAACAACAAAAAAAACTTTAATTTCATAGCAGAGTGAAGGATAGTGAAAGCATGAGAGCAGCATGAGAGTTTGGCTTTATATGGTCTGAATAAGATATCTTGTGGGATAGATAGGGATGGGATACTCTGGGTTCATTGACTTACCTTGGAGATCTCTCCGTCGTGTCCCTCTAAGGTCACGAGACACTGATGTGTGGTTGTACTGAACACACGCGCTGTACCTGAAAGGGACAGGAACAGACCAGGTTTTTGCTGTACATGAATTGTACTTTTTACTTGAGAAAAAGCTGATTTGTGACATTAAATCAGAGTGCGCACAGCAAGTAAACAATCAGGAGGCATCTGAAAAAAGTTACATTTATATTGAACCCTTTGCATCTGAGAAAATCTGAGTGAAATTTAATTGCCAAAATGGTGATGATATTAATTTATATTTATTACTGAGGTCATAGTAGGTGGTGGTGTACTGGACTGCACTGCATTGGAAAGTGTAGTCTAATATTTTCCGCATCTCCATGTATGTTTATGGAGTGGACAAAATATTAGAAACACTTTCATGTACATTTGTCCAACACACTAAAACCATCAACTATGACCTCAATAATAAACATAGAGTAGAACCATCACCTTTTGAATAAAGTCAACAGAAATAAAAAAAATTTTAAAAACCTAACTGCTTTATGACAGTAGAACCTATAGCAGAGTTGTTATTGGATTGCTTTGGATTTCATAGGTTTACAGGTGGATAGTAGATGTTAGTGTGTATGTATATCTACTGTTGTAACTGTAAAAATGATGTAACCTTTTCAGCAAATGAATGAATTATTAGTCTCACCGTCAGCAGAGGCAGCAGCAATGAGCTGACCACTTAAATCAAAACAGACATCCAACACCTCTTCTTTGTGTCCAACTAGGGTGGCCACACACTTCCCATTGCCAGCCTCCCACAACTGAAAAATACATTTCCAACATAAGAATGAACTCATAACTACACATGCAGACAGGGAGGAATAGCACAAGTGCAATAACTGAAACAACATACATGTGGACACACGCGGCGACACAAGTCTCATAAAGTATGCTGTTTGAAGTGGCTCTATTTTAGCCATCTCCCCAGGATAAGTGCAGTGAGGTGGATAATTCTTACTAGTGAGCATGACTCATCGTGGCATAATTAAAGAATTAGGATTTAATTTTTGTCCTTGAAACGATGATAGAGACAGAAGGTGGAGAAGAGATGAAAAATGGGAAATGGAGGAGAGCGAATGCGAATGACAAGAGCCATCGATCACAAATATCCAAGCTTTGCAATAGTTTAAAATGCTACATTAATGAGTATTATACAGCTATAGCGGTAGGAAACTAACATCATTTCACGACGAAGAGAACTTTTAGTAAAATAAAAAAATTAAAACACACACACCAATCTAAACATTTTTTTAAGTCACTGGGCTGATAATGGCTCACCTTGCAAGTTTTGTCCATGGAACCTGTGACAATGAGGGAGCAATCCCAGTTAAATTGAACATTGCTTATTTCTCCTGTGTGACCAATCAGAGTGTGAACACGTCTAAGAAAAAACAGAAAAAGCAGCAATTAATCAGTTATGCAGTCTTGTATGCCAAATCTACAGGTGTAATCCAAGCACTATGGAGTATAAATTATGACACATGCATAAGTCAGTGCAGACATTGCTGTAACAATGGAGATGTATGACCTTCCTGAAGCAACATCCCATACAGCAACTGTGTGGTCGAAAGAGCCAGTGACAAGCTGATTGCCCACTGTGTTAAAGCACAGGGACAGGACCTCTGCAGTGTGACCCTGGATGGGATAAAAGAGAGAGCATAATCCCTCACTGTCTCATTTCCTTTCTTTGTCATAGTCTATCTTTTTTTTCTCTCGCTGTCTCCCATCTATGTATGAAAATGCACATGTTAAAATGCAACTATTATTTTTTTTTCAAATAAACAACCAGAGATTAGCCATGAAGGTAGATTTTAAATACTTGAAATTGCTTTTTATTAAGAGCACACAGTTAAGATTCTGCTTTCAATTGACTGCTGTCAGCGTGACTGATTCTTTATAGTGAGAGATACTAAAAGAACTGAGAGAGCTTCAGAGAGCTGCTCTGCACTGAGCCAGTTAACCAGCAAGTCACACTATGGACCCACGTGCAGTCTGCACATCAAAGAGGACTCACTATTCCCACATGAGTGGGTTATCAGTGCCTTATTAAAGAGTTGAAGCTACATTCCCCATCAGATCATTTTGGATATGTGAAGTGGTAAAAATGGTGGCCATTGACAGCAGTTAACAATATTAGCAATAATTACTTTCATAAGTCGATTAAAAGCTAATTAAAGCAAAAATGAATGAATGGATGTGGGTCACAATACCAGGAAAAAAAGCAAGAGACACAAAAGGATGAAGTAAGTAAAGTTAACACACAGCCAGAGTGGCCACCTCCTCCCCATTCTCCACATCCCACAGCTTGGCAGTGGTGTCCATGCTGCCTGTGGCCACCAGCGTACTCTGAGGGTTGAACGCCAGGCACACCTACACAATACAAAAGTCTCTGTTACTTGTGGTGTATTCTGCTACAAAGGCAGAGTTGTATTTATTATCTAAGCACTACATATAATACCAAAGTACAACCATTAAACTATGTAGTTTAAATGCTTCGTTAGCCTTGGGCCCTTCTGTGTACAGATGTGCATAAATACTGTCTATATGCAGAAGTGTACAGCATATGAAGGAACAACTGACTAAAAACTAACAGTAATCAAATACGTTTAAGTTAAAACAGATCGTGATACATACTATTTCTGCCATGTGTCCCCGGAAAGTATGAAAACATTTGCCAGTCTCAGCACACCACAGTTTGCAGGTCTTATCAAAAGAGCCCGTGGCAATCTTGTCTCTAAGTTCATAATGAGGAAATAAAGCAAGAAAAGTCAATTTTAAGATTAAGCACTCCTTTGAATGTCAAATAGAGGTACCCAATTCTCACATGCCATGAAACATTTTGCAGAAACAGCTCATTACCCATAGGGGTTGTTGAATGCAATTGCATAAACCACATTTCTGTGGCCCTCTAGCATGTGCAGCTCAGTGCCTGAGGCTGTGTCCCAAACTCTGCATGTTCTGTCATAACTCCCAGTTATAAACCTGCAGAGTGTGAGACAGAGGAGTAAAAACTATGAAACAAACAAAGAAAACTTTTCCTAAACTCCCAAGTGCTAGAAGATTGTATGTTGGCAAACTCACCTTGACCCAGATTTGTCAAATGCAACATTTGTCAGTGGCAGTATGTGTGCTTTAAGCTCCTGCAGAAAAAAAAGACAGATTGAAAAATATACCCTCTAAGGAAATATACCTTTTGGCTTTACTCATCTTTTAAATGACCAGTGTAATTTCCATGAATATAATTAATTTGACTTTGATGTAATGAGAAGATCTGTCCCCTCTGACCTGCAGGAAGGAATCTCCGCAGATTAAGAAACAGATTACAGAAATCAATATGCTCTCATCTCCAGCTATTTAACTAACCCTGACCTCTATCTATCTGCATTTCATGTGTTCATTAACGCACTAAGATACACATGAAGCACCTTTTGTTACTATGTTATTAGACTTTTGGTGCTTGTCTTCTATTTCAAAGACTTGGTAACCAAGCCACTGCTGCTCTCTAGTGCCTTCTTGGAGCATTGACAACTAATTTCACAGCCTAAACGTGCCCCCTGCCTTCGCCCTTAAGTCAGCTGGGATAGGCTCCAGCCCCCCCGCGACCCTAGTGAGGATGAAGTGGTGTATAGATAATGGATGGATAGATTTAACTTAACCTTAATTTAACTGCATCAAAATGGCATGTCACAGCTGGTGTGCTGATTTGTTTAATATTGTCCAGTAATATATATATATATATACACAAGTGTTTTGTCCGACCTTGCAGAAACAGAACCTGTGGTGGTTCTGTTGGCCCTGTTTCTGCTGAAGTCGAAGGACCAGTTGTTTGACCTGTTCAGCCCGGGATTCTGTGACCAGAGGCTCCGATTGCCTGATTTGTGCCACCAACTCATCTGGATTTGTCCTACAAGGCAGGGAAATTCGAATTTTCCACAAATTTCAAACAGATTGACGGCAATAATTTAAAAAGTAGTGACATGGAAAATATAAAATCTCAAAGTCTCAAATTATTTAAGCTTGAGATGATCTGTTTTATATGACAAACACCATAACAACCAATAAATTCACTTACCTTTTTACCTAAGTACAGTTAATGAGCATAGAAAACACTCCTCTTGTTAGATTTGAGCACAATTTTGAGTGTAAGATTAACCTGAACTGATCAACATTATTAGTTTCAATTAAAATGTAACTTGTAGTGGTAAACAACATCTATTTTTTTAAAAATGTCAAGACCAATGGTACTAAGGAACTTTACTGCACTATAACCTAATACTACATGCAACATACAAGGTTGGTTAAATGGTGTAAAGGGTGTTTGCAAGCACTAAGTTTTTAACATAACAGAAAAGCAAAAATACAGGTCAGAGCAGTTTTATGAAGAACACCTTTATTCAAAGACCTCATGTTGAGTGCTGAGGCCAAAGAGAACTATTTGGAGGTATGTCTGACCAGCTTAGTAAATAAAATGAAAGCATTTTCTTGAGCTAAAAAGCAACAACACTCCTACAGAGGGTTTTTATGAAATCCAACAGTTGTCAGTAAACCAGAGTGATGTCAGGTGTCGAACTTTAGCCTCATTATAATATACAACTCACGTACTCCGGAGTCAAATCCAGAAGGTCGATGGATTTGGTCCTCAAATATCCTCCTTTCTCGTATTCCAAGATGATACCTGATAGCAGAAAAACGAATTAAAAACCAGGAAAATGCAGCAGTGTCGCCGGTTTTGAAGACTATCTGTCCTTTAACTCAGCTACCCAGCGTTGAGCTTTGGAACTAAGCTAGCTAGCTAACAAAGACAAACGTTAGGCTATAGCAAGTTAATATACATTCCTGTACAAAAGTGTCACATTCTTGTGAAGAGAAGTACAACTGCGGCGAAGTGACTTATTTTATTTTACCTGGAGGATAATATCTGAGAAGAAAGCGCTTGAGTTTCATGTTAACATGTATTGAAGTCTCGACTCATCACAGATCAACAAACAGTTGCTGGGCGACCGGAGCGCGTGCGCTATCCACGCATGCGTAGTAGAAACATAAACAAACTACATGAGCGACGGGTTGTGTGATGTTTAGGGTAAATGCAGATGTTGGCGTGTCAATCACTTCTGCTATACTTTTATATACTGTGGCATTAGACGAGGAACTCCAATATGGAAAAACAACAATCAATCAATCAATTAATCAATCAATCAATAAAAAAAACTTCTGTTTCACTTTTGCTCTTTACGCCGACAAAAGCCACTTTTTCCTTGATGACACCGTGAGTTGTAAAAAGCGGCGTTCAATGACCACAGACAGCTTTGTGCTTCTTGTGGCTGATTGCAAAGTGTCAGAAACGCCCTTTTTACACTCCACTGTGTCCTGACAGTGTGCATGCCGCATTTACACAGTTATTTAACAAAAGTATTTGAGAAGTAATCATTTATTTCCCTTTGGGCTTTCAATAACCACAACTTTTTTTTTACCGTTAATACACCTCCTTCACTAACCATAATCACGTGTGTTTCACTTAGTTTCCGCGAAACTTTATACTATTCAACAGCATCGCAAATACTTCAATAATCTTCACAGGGAACAGTTGCTTAAATATGTGAAAATTGTAAAAATGTTTATTAGAATAAAAGAACACATTAGGGCGCATTATTTCACCTGTACTTTCTCCGTGATCAGCTGACACTGAACGACACTATTCCCACTTTCTCTCAGTTGGTGGACTGGCAGATGGGTGACAGGACCTTGGTCTGTCATGGACATCCAGCTACACAGTTCCTTATCTTCCTACAGAGGTTGTATAATTTAACAACTTAGACTGTCTTAAACAACTGTTAAAAAGCAACTTCGCTGTAAGAATTTTTCAAGTTTTAATTGTGATAGAGTATTGACAGAGGTTCCCATAATCTACCTCTAGCAGCCGAATTTTGGTTGCCTTCTAAATTATTGTTATTTTTTCCTGAATTTGAGTTTTACAAGGTTTTTTTTACGAGTACTTACTGATGTATAGATGCTTAACTGAGGAATGCACAGGAATAAACTGCATGGCTTTCTCATGACAAAATCAAACCAACAGCTTTAAATGCTTGGGAATCAAGGCAATTTCTAGAATCCTATCTCTTAATAGTTTGGAATGTTTCTAGTTGAGCAAATGGTGAATAAAATAATCATAGGCTAATGTTTTTATGGGTTAAATTGCTGCTTTGTACAGCTGTTTCCATGATTTTTATATGCAATTTTGTCATAAATTACTACCTACTAATAGTTCTGCGTTTATGCTCTTACCTGCACATTCCCATGATCAGTCTGTCTGCCTCTGTAACAATAGGATATACCACTTCTCAGATCAAAGTCTACTGCCGCTCATAAACTCTGACGAAGGCACGTGCAGATCGTAAAGATGATGTATTTATATTCTGGTGACTGATGTGTACTGATAGCTTCAAAGAAGCTCAAAGCGCTCCAGGTAGTCAGACTGTATAGACCAAGGTGCTCAGGTAGCTTTCCTACAAGTAAAAAACCAAACAGGACCTGTAGTCATTTCTGCTGAAGTAAAAGCATGGGCTGCTGGACCAAGCTGAAGTCATCTGAGTGGGCTTATCCCACCACAATCCTGTCACTCTATGGGTTTTTTGCTAACTGCAGAGTAGCAGAGCCCTTCCTGACACCATACCTAATTGGACCACACAAGAACATCTCTGAAGAAGTGGTAAGGATTAAAGTCACATGTGTTCTGCTATATACACTGTTATTTTGCAGTCTGTTTTGTCTGTTCAAACTGCTCCTGATTGATAGTGAGATATGCACGCCACTTGCAAGAGACAGAAATCTGATCAGAAGTCCTGATCTCTGGCACTTGTTGTTCCCCACAGGTGACCAACTACCTGTTTCCTGTCTGGACATATTCCTACCTGGCTTTCCTTTTCCCTGTTTTCCTCCTGACTGACTTCCTGAGGTATAAGCCAATTATAATGATACAGGGGCTGTTTCTCGTCACCAACTATGTTTTGCTCTGCTTTGCCCCGGGTGTTCCTGCTATGACCGTCCTGCAGGTCAGTTGAAACTTTTTTCCTTTTTTTTTTCTGATAGCAATAATTGATCATGAATAGAAAATACGTGGCTGATGTAACATTTCTCTTTTATTCAGTAGTGGATTTGGTGTTGTCGCCTTGACATAACATGGAAAAAAAGCAGAAATGTGTTATTCTCTAATCTTGTTTTTTAGGTATGTTACTTGTCTTGCTGCAGCATTGACATGTGCAAAAATATGAGCCATTATTTGATCCATTATTGATATGGGGAGAAAAAAAAAGGCTTCATCATTATTTCCATCTCTTTAAAACTGTTCCATCCAATCAACAGGTCAACTATGCAGTAGTGACTTCTACAGAAGTGGCTTACTTGTCCTACATTTACAGTGTGATTCCAAATGAGAATTACCAAAGAGCTACTGGTTACCTGCGCGGCGCCTTTTTAGCTGGATATACAACTGGTGCCAGCCTCGGCCAAGTGCTAATCTCCGTTGCAGGTAGGGCTTCGTAACCTGCAATTAATATGGAAAAAAAAAAGGTTAATCTTGCATCACCAGTTTTTCTCCACAGTAAGATAAAGAATACTCTGTAAGACAAAAAATTAAAGACCTCTGAATAGAAAAGTCTCAAAATCTGCCTTACTTAGATGCAAAACAAAATAAGTGCAAAGAAAATGATGAAGCAGCTGTATTGAAGTATGCTCAAAAAATGTGAACAAGCACTGATGAATTATCAACTCTTAATCAACAGGGGTGGACTACTTCTACATCAATGCTATCACTCTGGGGATCATGAGCATAGCATTTCTTATCACATTCTGGTTGCCAATGCCCCAAAGAAGCATGTTCTTCAAAGGGAAACAGGCTGCAGCTGTGGGTTTGCAGTCCCAGCAGGAGGGGCCACTGGAAGAGAATAGACTTGAGGATCGAGTGATGGATAAGGATGGAGCAGACTCATTGAAAGAGGAGATGGAGCATAATGGCAGTGCTGGCTGGTGTAGCAGGGAAAATGTGGCCACTGTGGGCCCTGTCCTTTGGCAAAGCTTTCGGGAGTCCTACTCTTCAAGGCATTTTCATTTTTATTGTATTCTGTTGATCCTAATCACACCCTAAAACTGAACATATAAAGACATGTATTTAACACATTGGCGTATTACTAACTGTGGTATCTTTCTATAATGTTTAACAGTGCAGTATTTTTAAATAGTAGAAGTAATCTCATAATTGCTATCATCATTATAATCTGTTGTAATTATTCTCACCACGCAGACATTTAATCTACTGGTCCCTGTGGTGGGCTCTGGCTACAGCTGGCTATGTGCAGGTCTTTAACTACATCCAGCTTATGTGGGACCATATAGAACCATCTGCCACCTCATCCATCTACAACGGAGGAGTAGAGGCTGTATGCTGTCTTGTAGGTAAGAATGACTTGGAGATGAGTTCTGTTTAGAAAAAAAAAACTGTCTGATTTAGTGTGTTTTGTGTACTTAAAGGGAAAATGTGGAAATGAATTTTTTAAAGAACAAAACCAAAATGAAATAACCCTACCTTCAGCTGTTGTTTGCGTGGCCAGAGTAAAACACCAAGTGAACCTATTAAAATGAGTCTTCTGAAAGTATTATCATGTAAATACAACAAGAAACTAATAAACTAAAAAGTAAGTTTTATAGTATTTAAAAAAAAATAAAAAATGCTGTGCACAAAAGCATGTGTAATGAAAGAATGAAAGTTGCTTTAGACCACTGATAGAAGCAGGGGATCAATGGATTTTACTACACTGACAACAGGAACCAGGAGTTCAGTTAAGACAGGGGTGGAACAAAAAGACTGCAGCCTGATTACATTATAAAAAGCAAAAATAACATTTAACGATGTCATTTAAAGCTGCTGTGTCTGATGGCACATAGACTTATAAAATCTTGCAATTAAAAGAAGAACAGCCATGCTGTTCCTGGTTCAATGGGGTACCACATTAAATGGAAAATGTGTATTGATTTTGAAGGCGAATTGCAGCTCCATGGTTCTTTTGGCTAAGGCTCACCTGGCTCAGCATGAGAAGAAGAAGAGTAATTGCTTCAATTAAGGAGACAGATTTAAACGGTAATGGCTTCTCTGATTATTGCTGATAGTTGATTCCAAGAGCCAGGAGAAAGTGGTTCATCATAATGGGCAGGTGCTGTGGAGGCCAGCAAAGGCATTTGTGTATATAAGATTCTGCTTAGAAGCCACACTTTATACCAGTGTTCAAGGAAAGAGATGTCAGCGTTAGGATTAATGAATGAATCAGGAAGTCACAACAACAAGGATGCAAAGACACAGTTGAAGTATCGTTCACTGGACTGACAGATTAATTGCTCCATTTGTCTCCTACATGGTCCAGGTGCTGCGGCGGCCTTCTCTGTGGGCCACATGAAGGTCAGCTGGGCTGTTTGGGGAGAGTTGGCATTAGGGTTGTTTTCAGCTGTGGCGACTGGGGCTGTGTTTCTGATGGTATTTACCAGCAGTATCTGGGTATGCTATGCTGGTTATGTGATATTCAAATCCTGCTACATGCTTCTCTTCACCATCACAGCGTAAGTACATGACTAAACTCCTCCAGTCATATTTCGAAGAAAAAAATGATCATCACAAATTTCCATAATTTAAGCTGACTTGTTCAAAATGTTCTTATCTATGTGACCCACAGTTCAAAGTCCAATTAACTGACAAAGACATACAGACAAAAGCAGAAAATATTCATGTGAAAGCTGCTGATTACTGTTTCTCATCTCTCTGGCATCTATAGCTTGGTGCTCTCATAATTATAAGCACTTTGTCACTGCAGATTTCAGATCGCATCCAACCTCTCTATGGAGTGCTATGCTTTGACATTTGGGATCAACTCTTTCGTGGCCGTCACACTCCAGACCATCATTACAGCTATTGTTGTTGATGAGACTGCACTGGGACTGGACATAGTGACACAGGTATGTTTGTGTACGTCTCTCTTTCTTTGATTTGATGGCAGGACACATGGATTTAACACTAATGAGCTGAATGTAAGCAACATGTTAGGACAGAGTGACACCTGGTGGTTATCATTAACTGTTGCATGCTGACATGTGTGATGCAGATTAATCCTTGGCATGAAAAAAAAAAGCTATGAATGACAGATATTTCTCTCTGCAGTTTATCATATATGGCAGCTACTATGCTGTCATCTCCCTGCTCTTTCTGATTCGAGGGACCTACACCGCCTTTGTAAATCACTGCTACCCTGAGCACACGGATGCCAAGGGACCAGAGTCCAAAGTGGAGGTGATCTCTGCTGAACGCTTTTGACCAATGTCCATGTTCCATTTGTTTATGGGGGAATAAAACAATCATGCTTAAACAGCATTACTGCCCTTTACAACTGGAATTTTATACGTTGTTATGTATCTAAAACGGAAGCCAATCAGCACTATAAAATGATGCATTTATTACTGATTAATATTAAAGAAAAAGTCCAGAGATTTGTCTGCTTGCCTCTTGCATTTATTATACGTGTGTGTCAGCTTGGTCTCGACCTTCGCCAAGAGTGTGCCGCACTTTGACCGGGTTGTTGATTGACGAACCGAGCTCAACGTGCAGACAACATCAGGTTTTTCCCACAAGGCAGGCAAAACAAACAGCGCTGCACACCGAGGAACCACTTGCACACACCTGAAACAGGTAGAAGATGGAGGCAGTGAAGAGGTGGAGGTCTGGATGGAGGTATCCCACAACTCTGCTGTGCACCTATGGATTTTTCAGCACAGTTAAACCGCTGGAGCCGTTTCTCATCCCATACTTGACAGGACCGGACAAGAATCTGACAGCTGAAGAGGTATAGAAGAAAAGATAGATGGCTTAAGAAAACCGTTGATCAGAAAAGAAAACTAAAATTGTTCGTAAATAACTAGTTTGGTGAATCACAAGCAACTTGGCAAACTGCAATATTTTTTATGAGGGGTAAAAATCCAATCATGATGATAAAACTTGATTTATTACTATGAAGCAATAAAGTTCCTGCTTTCCATTTGGTGGCTGATTTTGAATTATTTCTTCCACTATTGTGTTTCCTTCTCAGGTTAGCAATCAAATCTTCCCAGTGTGGACATACTCCTACCTGGCTGTGCTGGTGCCAGTGTTCCTACTGACCGACTGGCTGCGTTACAAGCCTGTCGTGGTGTTCCAGTCTGTTGTGCTCTTCATCACTACAGCACTGCTGCTGTGGACAGAAAGCGTGCTGGCCATGCAGGTCATGCAGTTCTTCTACGCGATGGTGACAGCCAGCGATGTGGCCTATTTCTCCTACATCTACAGGTCATGAACTGTAACTCAAGTCACAGGTTTGTATTTTGCATGTTTGCAACAGGTGTGACATTTTGATGATCTTATTTGTTACAGTGTGATAGATCTGAAGAGATACAGGAAGGCCACGTCCTACAGCCGCAGCATCCAGCTCCTGGGCTACACAGTGGGTTCTGTGCTGGGTCAGCTGCTCGTCAGCTTTGACCTCATGTCCTACAGCAACATCCTGGTGTTTACCCTGGTTCTCACCGCTATCGCTCTCCTCACTTCGTTCTTCCTGCCAATGCCACAGCACAGCATGTTCTTTCACCGGAGACATCTTAGACAGAAAACAGCAATGGAGGGAACCGAGAGGCACGGAGACGGGACTGTGGATGCAATGGAACGCTCAAGCAGATCAAACATCTCTTTGGAAGAAGTGGGAGGTGAAAAGGAGGGCAAAGGAGACATGGAGGATGATACAGAAAAAGGACTGGAGGAAAAAGGGCCTACGGCTGAGGACCTTGAGGGAACTGTTGGCGCAGAGACCTGCAGCCAAGTCCTCCTGCAGCTTTGGAGAGATTTCCGTCAGTGCTATTCCTCCAGGCAGCTGCTCTACTGGTCAGTGTGGTGGGCAATGGCCACTTGTGGCTATAACCAGACTGTCAACTATGTGCAGGTTTGTTGGGACGGCACCATAAACAAAAACATGAAAATTAAAAGCTAATTTAAACAGATTAGATTGCTTATCAGTGGGTTAACCAGTACTGGGCAAGAAGGTGAAGATGCCATAAAACTAATGATAAAACTTAGGCTGAAACTCCACCAGTCACCAAACAGGTAATGCATCACATGACGTACAGCTGCAGGCAACTCATCTAGTTTATTTGTATTCAGCCTTTATTGTGCCTATACAAAAGTGATCGGTACTTTCAAATCACCAAATAATCACTCTAATTTATTCAACGCAGGTGCTGTGGGAAAATGTGCAGCCTTCTCAGAACTTCAGCATTTACAACGGAGGCGTGGAGGCGGTGTCTCACCTGTTGAGTAAGCAACATCTGAAAGATTTTCCAGAGTGTGAATACAGGCGGGCTGCAAGGTGGCACAGTTGGTTAGCACTGTTGTCTCGCAGCAAGAAGGTCGCTGGTTCGCATCCCGGTGGGGGCACCGGAATTGGAATCTTTCTGCGTGGAGTTTGTATGTTCTCCCCGTGCAGCGTGGGTTCTCTCCGGGTTCTCCAGCTTCCTCCCACAAGTCCAAATTGGTGAATTGGTCCAAGTTGGAATTGGTTAATTGGTGATTCTAAATTGTCTGTAGGTGTGAGTGTGCTTGGTTGTCTGTCTCTAAGTGGCGACTGGCGACCTGTCCAGGGTGTCCCCTGTCTTTGCCCTAAGTCAGCTGGGATAGGCTCCAGCCCCCCCGTGACCCTAGTGAGGATTAAGCGGTGTACAGAAAATGGATGGATGGAGTTCATGTAGATTTAGAGGTCTTTACTTTGCTCAAACCAGTGGCACTACTTAGTCAAACTTTCTCCATGTATGAAAATCGGTAGCTTAATCTCATCCTGGGACACAGGGTCAATTCAACATGTTGGGACCCGTTATAGACTGGCGACCTGTTCAGGGTGTCCCTGTCTTTGCCCTAAGTCAGCTAGGATAGGCTCCAGCCCCCCCGCGACCCTAGTGAGGATTAAGCGGTGTATAGAGGATGGATGGATGAATGGATGAACACAGGCTAGAACTAAAACCCCAAAACAAAAACAGGTTTCTGGTGGTTGATATGAACTGTTCTCAGAGCCTAATCAGCTGTGCTATGTTGGGTTTTACAGGTGCAGCTACAGCGTATGGTATAGGCTTCACTGAGGTGAGATGGGAGCAGTGGGGAGAGCTGGCCCTGGGAGGTTTCTCAGGACTCGGAGCTGCAGCACTGTTCGTCATGACATTCATCGGCAACATCTGGGTCTGCTACTGTGGATACGTCATTTTTAAGAGTCTGTACATGCTGCTGATAACAATAGCCATGTAAGAGTGTTCTGCCATATTAGGAGTAATAGTTTTACTCCACATTTATTGCATCCAGATTAGGAAATGAGCAATCAAATAGGTAATTAAAAAACACTATGCATCTCCTAGGTTTCAGATTGCAACTGGCCTATCAATGGAAAGATACGCACTGGTGTTTGGGGTAAACACCTTTGGAGCACTGATCCTTCAGACAATTCTTACTTCTATTGTGGTGGACAGCAGAGGGCTGAGCCTGTCCATCATTCCTCAGGTAAGCCATCACTAAATATGTGCAGCACAAGTGTTTGTAAGTCCTTCAGAATTCTTTTAAGCTTTTAAACTGTGTGTTTTTTGCAGTTCACCATATATGCCAGCTACTTCTCAGCCATTGCTGTTGTTTTTACACTTCGTGGACTATTTCGCATTTGGAGCTCTAAGAGAACCAAAAGAGAGACACCTCCTTCAGATGAAAATGAATCGTCAGGTTCTGGAGAACACAGATTCTGAAGCTCAAGACACTTCAAACTGAAATTAAGGGGTTGTGTTTTTGGGGCCGAACTGCAGCCCCATGTCAATTGTAAATGAAAATGGGAAAAGCTTCAAATTACTGCCACATCGTGAACAGAAATGTTTTCTTTTTTTTTTTTTTATATATAGACAAAACAATTATACAAGATTTTTCATACATCCATATAAATGAATACTTTGGTCGTTTCTTCTTACTTAAAATTCATTTTAATATATATACTGTATATATTTACACATTAACTTAAAATTCTCTAATACCCAATGTAAGTGGTTTTTCAGTTCATCAGCAATTCCTGTTACCCATATACATGTGGTTGACCATCATTCAAAAGTGTTGCAACCTAAGTCTCCGTCAGCAGGGCGGGGGATGGCAGAGAAATTAGTCCCCGACTCGTCCCTGATGCAGCATTCACTCCTTTTTTTTCCCCATCTCTCAACAACTGAATATGCGTTTTTTTTTTTTCTTCAGTGAAAACAATTTACCTAAAAGGATCCTGCACAAATAAACAGTTTGGTTCTTTACAAATACAGTAACTGGCAGTACCCATCAGCTTTTCCAAGCAACAGTTCTGTCTTAACAAATCTTGTGTGTTAGATACAAATACTGATATGCACAAAGAGCTAATTTTCTAAAAGAAAAAAACAATATGTACAATTTGCAGCATAATGAATGGGATATACTGTACGCAATAACTTAGTTTTCAGCCAGTTTGATTATACATTGTGGCTCAGTAGAGGCCAGGCCAGTTCACAGGTTAAATAGAGAAGAGGGGATCAACCTCTCCCTCTGCACACACCATCACTTTGTTTTGTAGCCATAGACAGTGCCTGCATGACTGTCTCGCATATTGTTCCATTTGTGACAAACTGCGATAGAAAATACAAATTCTTACAAACATTGTGTTTTTAAAGCTACTTGTGAAACAAAACAGTGCAATAGGTGCAAGCGCGCCAGTTGTTGACCCTGTAGTGCAGCAGACAAGATGGATCGCTATAAGAAGGGATTTGTTGAAGAGCCTCCTGCCGGATACTGTGCAGATGGACCCGCACCCTGGAATGAAAACAGTACAGAAAAATGTACTTATTATTTAAAGGATGGTGAAAAAAAAAAATCATTAAATTTAATTTTCTTGCCCAGAGTTAACACAAAAGATTGGCTTAGATTGAAGCCAGGAAACCAGTGCACACAGCCAGCCTAGATTTGAATAAAAAGGAAAAAAAAATTAAAAAATCAGCCTGCTTGAACTTCTGAGGCTCGCTAATTAACATTATGTATCTCGTTTTTTAAATCCTAAACTAAAAACAAGCTAATTCACTATTTTACATAGGGATTAGGTGCCAAACATTTTCTTAAATGGGAGCAGATGCTGGGCAGCCAGTGGAAACCTCACAAAGTTTCTGGTCCCAGCTGATGGCTCCATCTACATCTTCAGTTCAAACGTCTTTCCTAACACTCCAAAAGACAACAAATAAGCACTACTTACTTCAATATCATAAAATGATGAAGTCCAGCTTTAACCCAACCATTTCTGGATTTTTATTGACTAACACAATAGCATCAATGTAATAACTTGTCTTTTCAATTGAACTAAAGACTCGTTATCATTAGATATCATTATCATCAGCCCAAAACCCAAAAAAGAAATGTAACAAAAAAAACATTGTTAAAAGGACTCAAGTCCCTTCTTTCATTCCAGAGTAAAACTCATACCTACTACAGGAAATCTTACAACATAGCCACCATACTAACCAGAAATGGGTTGCTAGAGACCATAGGTCCTGCCATTGCCTGTCCAAAAGGAGTCACAACAGGCTTGGCTGGGCCAAAAGCTGGAAACCCTCCACCTGAAAGACAAGCACATTGTCACTGATTGGATACCCACACAGCTATTAAATTACAGCCAGAACAAATCCAGTAGGACTTTTTCAGTCACGTTCAGCTGAGCAAACCTTACAGTACATGAAAAATGACATAGCAAATGACCATTTTAAGGCATTTATATGCAACAACATGATAAGATTCAAACTTCAACTTCAGCATAGGTATTAATGCAGATAGGTCAACATCTACATGATCTACACACAGACACACACCGTTGGGTTGCTGGGGATACGCAGGAGGCTGAGGGAAGGGAGCCTGGCCAGGAAAGGGTTGTTGGAATGTTCCACTAAAGCTTGTGGGAAGGTTGTAGGCTGAAGAATTCCCAAATCCAGCTGGCATACTCATGGAGCCTGTGCCAAATGATGCTGCAACACAGCAGGACAGCAACAGGTTACAGAAGCCTTTTTAACACTCAACAAATCCTAAAGACAGACTACAAGCAAACCTGGTTCAAAGCTAAAACCTATTGCTTCTTAAGTTTATTTTTAAAAATAGCGACACAAATTTTACAGCATATACACAGTTGCCTATAAAATGTCCTATTACACAAAAGCTGGCACACATCAGCAGATAAAACTCATGAAAGAATATGAATACTGGAAAATTCGTAACAGAGTGTTAGAAAGCAATTCACTGTGAGCGAGGATGAACAACTAGGGTTACAGAATAGTTAAGAAAAAAAATACTGCTACAATAAATTGTGAATTAGAATTCTGCTTCTTTAGCAGGTAAATGACTGCACATGTAGAAAAAAATGCAAATGTAATTCTGTAACCCATAGTGTGGCTGTGTATGGCAAAACTGCCATCCATTTAACCTTTTCTTGCTAGAAAATTAAGAATTTCACAATCTATGTCTTTGTGCTGTCTAACTGCATGCAAAATCACAACAAGGTTGTCTGCAGACAAGCCTTCAGGAAAAGGAGGGAGGCAGAGTCAGACATGAGGCTACAACACTTGTAAGTTTAGCACTGGTGTCTGATCTCTGCTGAGCACACAGGAACAACACAGCCAGCTCGCAACTGAGCAGTTCGATAACTGGTGCAAATGCTACATCCAATGCCCATTAAACCGAGTCCACAATTATTTAAAATCAACTGAAATGTGAGAAAATAACCAGCCTAATTGCTCAGAAAGTCTTGAAAACGGTTTTTAATGTCATACTAGGTTAATTCATTGAACGAAGCATTTTAAGGCAATTAACATGATGAATAACAAGGAGATTATTGGTGTAAATTACAGTGAAAAGTTAGTTTTAAAACTCAATGGCCTCAGAAAGACAAAGCAGCTGTATTTTCTATATTCTTTCTTAACTGAAAAGAGGAAAATGTTGAGGAAGCCATTGAGACATGTGAGAGACGATGGAGTAAGATGAGCAAGACATACTTAAACCTGTGATAAATAGTCATATTCCAAAAGGATAACTGAGCACATTGCTCAAACACAGGTTGAAGAACTGCCCATCTATACTTCTTTTTCTATTAAATTTCATTCTGTCCTTGAGTCCTCTGTTGCTGATAAAACTGAATTTCTTTTATTTTGAAATCCTCCGAGAGGACTGACATATTGAGTTGACATTTTTGTATGGTGATGATGATGATACCTACTGATTAAAGACAAAACTGCAGCACTCAAGCTTAGGCTTAGATTTTCCCAGGTGTCAACTCACATTAAACTCGCACAACTCGCCCACTCTCCCTGGTGGTGAATTACTGATAAGGGTGTGACATAAAGTAACCCAATTTCTGTGACACTACACTTACATCTTCCAGCATTGCCTGATTCATTTGTGACAGAAAAGCATTAGTCACTGCCAGAGCAAGGCACAGGAGAGCACAAGGAAAGCAGAGAGCACAAGCGAACCTACCAAAGGCAGGAGGATAACCCTGCCCATGAAGAACCCTCATCAAGCCTGTCCAGCATGGCAAGAACAATCAGACAGACAACTGAATCTCCAATTTTGTAGGTTACTGATTCTTTTATCTCTCTTGTGCACACTAGTAAATGGCAACACTAGTCATCCTACCCGTTTCCACAGTGAGTCTCGCTAGTTTGTATCCAGAACTTACTTATATTATAATTTCCCCTTCTACTTCCCTGATTGCTTGTTCTTGTGTTTACTGCTACGCTGTGAGGCACAGACACTGCTGAGGTAGGATGGGTAAACGTTGCCACTTCAGGTGTGCAAATAAATAAACAAATAAATAAAATAATATATTTGCTGTGCAATAGTGTAACATGCATTATTTTACCTAACTGGACTTTGTCAGAATTATTACACTGCTGAGCAAGGTGATTCACAGGCACACACAAACATACACATAAACAAACCTGCAGCAGCCGCCACACTTGCTGCTCTGCCGTTGCATTGGAATGGGTTGGTGGGAGCTGCTGCTGGGGCAACACCAGCAGCTACAAATGGATTAGTTGACTGAGCTGCTGGAGAAAGATATAGAGTCATTAAACATTTAAAAAAAAACAAAAAACAGAGCAATAAATTGCATGGCCTAAATGTGTTGAAAACAAACAAACTGGTTTATAGAGGGTGTCCCATTTCAACACATCAGTATCCACGGTCAGTGATTTTACCCAGTCATCTCTGGATCAGCCTCTTATTGCTGACCCTTTCAAAAAATAATGTGTCCACAGTGATATTGCTTAATTGCTCTTGCTGAATTTGGATGTGCGCACAGTCCTAAGCAGGAAAACAATTACACTTCCAAAAAACGTTTTAATCAATAGTAGACACAGACCACATCTTAATGTAATGATCCAAGTGACAAAATGACCTGTGAGGCAGGTCAGCTGAAAAGTAACAAAATCAAATCTCTTGATAAAATGTAAAGCTAATTCATGTCTTACGTAACGTGATGATACGTGTCCACATCCTACATACGCAACGGCCAAGGTGTGTACCACATCTACAACTTGTTCTTTACATCTCCACTAGGAAACTCCTTGAGGTCCTACAAGGGCTAAAAGAATTTAACTGCAAAGTCTAAACTGCCAAGTCTAGCTACAGTTCTGTAAGAGTATATTGTACCTTACCCTAAAATTGTCCCTCAATCAAAAGAATATTTGAAAGTTAGAAAAATATAACTGCTTCCATCTTGGGGACATGATTACTACATTGCAATAGAAACAGTCTTAGGTTCACTCACCTCCATAACCCTGAACCATGCCAGGCATGGCCTGCTGTGCTTGTGCTGTTGACACCCCAGTCTCTGCGCCAAACATACCCCTGCAGTGAACACAAAGTCAATGCAGGAGTTTATTAAAGCCAGCAAAAAGAAGGACAGAGACCACTGAGCAACACTTGTGATGGGAGTGTGATCAGGGCTCGTAGGTCAAATGCTTTGGATAACTTTTAATTTTCTAGTTAAAAAAACAAAAACAAAAAAACAACAACAACCAGATGGTTAAATGTATTCTGTGTCCTGGCCTATTGTTGAGATCCCTTAACTAGTACAACCCTATAATCAGGTGGATAACTTAGCCTCATATTTTTTAAATTGCTAAACTGATGAACTGTGACTCATAACGTGCATCAGAAGCTATAAATGT